ATCACGCGGCCACGTAGCTCGTGAGGGAACTGTTCGGAATACTATCAGGGCTTTAGGGCTTAGCCTGTTTACAAGGATCCAACTGCTCGAAAGAAAGGTCCCGCGAACGCCTCAGGCAAGAACTTCATGCCACACGCAGCCCCCGACCTGCGGGTGCATCAGCCGTCCCTTCTGTTGGTACCCCAAAGAAGAAGGTTTAGGGCTTAGGGCTTAGGGTCCCTGCCTCATATGGTGGCCACCGGGGGGGGTTAGGAAGGTCAGCTTCCAAGGCTCCTATCAAATTGGGTGTAGGGTTTCGGGGCTAGCGGGGCTCGCATCCCTTAATAGCAACCCTGCTTAAGGAGAGCACCGTTCGCCTGGATCTCAGATCATGCCCTATAAAAAGTTACCCTAATACTCAAGAACCCAAAGCCCAAATTCCGAGGCATAGTCTTGCCGGTACCTGAGAATCACAACTGGCAGAAGCCCTGAATGGTCGCCCTTGAGCCCCCTTTGGGATTTAGGGCTATGAGGAATCGGCTTAGGATTTAGGGTTTAGGGATTCTCCCTTACTAGTAGGCATTCTCCCTTCCTAGTAGGCATTCTCCCTTACTAGTAGGCCCTCTTCACCATACTTACAAGCCCCTTCTTCTGCCTTCTGGCAAGTTTACTGAGCTGAGCCCTTCGCAAGCAGAGGAGATCACCTCGCATTTGGACACCGGCCGGCACCTGGACAAGCTGCGTGGTCTGATAGCCCTGAAAGGATGAAAAGACTAGTGGGTACGGTACAGTTCTTAACTTCCATGGGCACCATGCATCCCGCTCACAGGACATAGACAAGCCTCCAGCAGCCTACAATGATCTGAAGTGGGGGCTGTTCTACACTACAACGTGTGAAATACCATACATATATGACACACAAAAGAGAATATATTTGGACCGGTACTTGCCACGGAAGGTCAGAGCCTTAGGCCCAGTGACTTCCGAAAGTCTGGTCCAGGTCCAACATGAAAGCTACCAAGACTGCCATTTTTAGACGAAGCCTCGGGCTGATTGCAGCTTGGCACAAGAACTACAGTAACTCCAGTGCGCACTGAACAAGAAACAAGCAAGCTGCGTATCTGGCAATACGTTCGGGGAGCTGGCATGTGCCAGCTCAAGAAGTTGCCTCGCCGTTTCTCAGGCTGGGTCTTCGCCATGGCCCATAAAATGGAGGCTTGGGAGGCAGCCCATCGCGTTGCCGAACCTGAAATACTCAACGTGTAATCTGACATGCCGAAGCCACGCAGTGCTCTTGCAGGATGATGCCTGCCACTAATTCAAGGATTCCCAGCGCCGGACGCCTGCCTCTAAATCGTGTCCCACGAAATTCAAGAAGGTTGACAAGCACACTCTGTCATGGCACACATGCAACCAACACAACTGGGACTGGTAACCAACAACCAGCATGCAGACTGCAGGACACGGATACACTTGAGCAAACAGAACGAGGTTCACGGAAACCTGCGGCATCCCGTGACGTTGTCGCTCATGTACATGATGACAAAGTCCTCCTATCAACTCGTAGGTTGAAACCCTTGCAAGGCCTCTGATGATCTGCTAGAGGACCTTTCCGCACTTCAGTGGATTCCAATCCACGAGGGTTGATAAACGTATGGGCCCCCTTCAGGTCTCTGCTGAGTCTACAACTGGGCCAATCATTTAGACCAACCCACACATCGAAGAGCGAGCATGCAAGCCCCCGTAGCACACAAAGCTGAACCGGAGCACCACCATGATGTGGGATAGCCTGATAGAGCACAACGACCGATGCACCGTAGCAAAACTGGCAGGCAAAACTGGCCAGCAACCCGGCTACATGACTCGCAATTGCACAAGAATCATGTGAAACAATGTGACTTCCTATGCGAAGGGATGCCACCAGAGTCCATGCAATCAAAACTGGCAACTATACCAAGCGAGGTCAATGATCAGCTCGCTGGGGACGTGAGGATCCAGAAACGACACCCGGGCTTCCTGGGGTCTACTGCAGATTGAGCACCAAAGGGGCTCAGCAATGGCGTACGCTGCGTAAAGGACTGGAAATCAACACGCCCACCTGGTCCACACAACCCAACAGGCCCTTGAAAGGGCCGCAATGGCCTGTGTAATGCCACATTAAGCTGTGCTACGACAAGAACGCAACGAGTCAACTCGCGGACCCATGTGAAACCTGGCCATTCTTCATCGACCTTACATTGTTGAGCATCTGCTCTGGCAAGTGAAACAGGCCTCTAGAACGTATGCAAGCAACATAGTGACAGAGTGATCAACGCTGCGTCACGAATCACGAGCCCTGCAGTTGGTGCCCAAAAGTCTAACTGCTCTGGTGAACGCAAAGGGCACTCGATGCAACTCACATCGCGGGAAGACATGCCTGTCTGCTTGTGAGGTACCGGTGCGTAAGGCCTCGAATAACGCATGCACCACATGCACCACAGGCAACCCATCTTTCAAGAGAGCTCTCGTACTGATACTTCATGGCTTGAAAGCAGTTTGCATGCATCGCGAGGTTGAGCTTCCTTGATAGTGAGATCTTGCAGGTTGAAAACGTGCGAGATGTGAAGTGTGAGCACCCACACAGGCACCTGGAGCGCAGAAACCACAGATACCCATGATCTCGAATGCGGTCGATCCCTTTGTGAAGAGCTTTGGTGGCACCCTTCCATGGTCTGAACACAGCCTTCTGTTGTACAGTCGTAGCTGAGGATGCAGAGTTGTCCAAAATGCATCACATGTTGCCGACATAGAAGTCGTGAGGGAGCAGTTGGCTCACATAAGAATGTACGCTACAGAGAAGACCTGCAAGATCCTAAAATACGAAAACATATAATATGTAACTTACAGGCGACCTTTCTACCACCACATCGCCCAAGCAATGCGTCAAATCTTGTGCTTTGGAGGGCATGCGTACAACATCTCCGATGGCCCCTAGGTTGTGCCTGCTTCGCAAACTGGCTCTTGCACCTTTACCGCCAGTTGAAGATGCTGATCTGGAAAAGCGCTCGGTGACGACGAAGTCTCCATGCGCTCACATGGCGCTTGCTTGCTCGAGCATTCTGTTCCCGCCCCACGCCCTTCCGGAACTCGGTTGATTTTTGAAAACGACTAGCACTGTTGAAGATATGAAACATGCTTCTGTGCGAGAACACCTGCACTTGCTCCAGAAAGATGACTCGCCGGTCATTCTCAGATATTGTACTGGTGCTGGTCTGAGTGCCCACGTAGCTTTGGAGTTGTGATCAACTCATGAACGCTCTGCTGCTGGGCAACATCCGGGAAAGAAGCTTGAAATTGAGTGATACGGGCACCATCGGGAACCTGTGCGGCGAGCGTCTACCACTGACCATCACATCATGTACTGCGGTGGTGCGAAAGTAGATCCCGGTAGATCCACCATTGCTAGAAGGTACGTCTGCAAGGCTTGGAGATCTCAAAGTCTCAGAGAGCCCCGGAGGGAACAGAGTAACGTCATCGCAAGAAACATCACTATTTCAAGCGAATTAAGTGAAAGAACATGCTCTTTGAAACCCAGCGCGATAAAAAGAATCTAACGAGCGCTGGAAGTATCGTAATACAAGAATACAGTAGAAAACTTTTATTGTAGGCGCGGGCTTCTCAAAAGACTGACCGGGTTTCTGAGAGTCCTTACTGATTTGAAGCACTGTTCGAAGGAAATGCCTGACTTAGGCTTAACGTTCGCAAAATAATGGTCCCCGGTTTGAGGGAACCTAAATAGAAGGCTCCGCACAGTACTTCAGAGAAATGCCCATCTAGTACGCGCTGGGCCCACAAGCTCTGGATTGCTCAGTCATACTGTGGCTGCTAAATGGGAACAAAAATTCTGCTGATGATCGGAAATAGCTTCCCTATCCTGGTGCCAGTGCGGATTATGCTGTGGAAGGACGACGCCTGAAGACCTGCATTCTTCCGTAACGAAAACTTGAAGGCAATTCGTGAAGCCCTGCTGCCCATAAACATCGACGCTTCTTTCATTTTGGTGGTACAGCTTGCTCACAATACTGTCAAGACTTCCAGAGCCCCGGAGGGCACAGCAACAATTCCGCTGCAAGAAGATGTTCTTTGTCCACGTAACAAGGAAATGCCTCGAAGTTAAAGAAAAAACTACATCGATGATGCAGCTCGTTCATGCCTTGTCAAATTGGTACATCACGAAGCCTATCAACTGCCATCGGCTACGAACTGCTTCGCCGACAAAGAGCTCTGCTTCCGATGCCCTTCAATGATGACGTAGCACGTGGAGACGATCGCGAACACCACACTGGGAAAGCTGCAAGGCCACATTCAAAGAACAGATGCAGAGCTGGAAGACAACATGCAAAGAACAAATGAAGTCAAACTAGTGCCTCAAAACGGGCTCACTTGATTCTGTTCGACCCGATGCTGAAATCTCGTAGATGGCTACATAGGCTACTTCCCGTGACTCCTCTGCGATGGCAATGTCGGCAATTTGCGGAGATAAATCTGGTTTTGGTCCAAGTAATCGTGCCTGCCGCGAAGCTTCACCAAGTCCACATGGCACCATGTTGAAACTAAAGCCCCGTCTACAGTGGTGCCCTCTACTTTTGGTGAGCCTCCAGAACCCAGTAGAATCCAGAACCGATCAAGATTGCGTCCGGCTTTCCCCCAGCTATCGATTGCCCAATCATACTTCATCCACCACAAAAAGCTGGCTGAATTCAGAAAATTCTGCTGATGATCCGCAATAGCTTCCCTATCCTGCTGCTGGATTACGTTACGGAAGGCCGATGCATTCTTCTGTGACGAAAGCTCGAAGAAATCCGTGAAGCCTTGCTGCCCGTAAACATGGAGCTTCTTCCATATAGGTGGTAAAGGCTTGCAGAGCCCCGGAGGGCACACGTAACAAGGAAAATGGCTCGAAGTTCACGTCCCACACAGAGTGTCCAGAACAGAGCCTACAGGGCTTACGCAGCTCGTTCATGCATCGTCAAACTGGTACATCACGAAGCGGATCCACACTTTTGTGGCATGCGAAAGTCAAAGCAATTTGGAAATCTTTGAAGGCCCTGGGGCACATGAACTGACACCTCTTGCTGAAACCCATCGGCGAAGATCTGCGGATTCCTCGAAGCCCCTTTTGAATAGATGCTTTCTACATTGCTGCCATCTTGAATGAACTGGAACTGCTTCAAGAACACGACGGCCGTTCGGACCTGACACGGCAAGACAGCAGGAAACATGACACAGAAACACAATACACTTCCGGCAAGATCAGCGGATTCCTCGAAGCCGCTTTTGAATAGATGCTTTCTACATTGCTGCCATCTTGAATGAACTGGAACTGCTTCAAGAACACGACGGCCGTTCGGACCTGACACGGCAAGACAGCAGGAAACATGACACAGAAACACAATACAGCAAGATCACTTTTCGAACTTACCGGAAGCAAGAAGTATTCTGGACTTGCACACGTACATGAGGCGTGCAAACCACATCCATCACACCAACAAGCGCGATGTGGGTCTGAAAAGTCGGGGTGCTGCAAGAGGTTCATATTACAATCGCATGAGGCCCGACATAATGAGCGACCACGTGCAACCCGTCTGATCAAAAAACACTCGAAGAAGCACTGCAACAAGCACGATGACGATTTGAAGCATGTCCCGTGGAGTACGATGGTGCCTGCACCCTCTGAAATCACGCAAAAGTCGCTCGTCGTTGAGCGTGCCATCGACTATCAACTGCCATCGGCTACGAACTGCTTCGCCGACAAAGAGCTCTGCTTCCGACGCCCTTCAATGATGACGTAGCACGTGGGGACGATGACGAACACCACACTGGGAAAGCTGCAAGCCCACATTCAAAGAACAGATGCAGAGCTGGAAGACAACATGCAAAGAACAAATGAAGTCAAACTAGTGCCTCAAGACGGGCTCGCTTCACTTCTGTTCGACCCGATGCTGACATCTCGTAGATGGCTACAAAGACTACTTCCCGTGACTCCTCTGCGATGGCTATGTCGGCGATTTGCTGAGATAAACCTGGATTTGGTCAAAGGAATCGTGCCCGCCCCGCGCTTCACCAGGTCCACATGGTGTTGAAACTAAAGCCCCGTCTACAGTGGCGCCCCCTACTTTTGGTGAGCCTCCAGAACCCAGTAGAATCCAGAACCGATCAAGATTGCATCCGGCTTTTCCCCCAGCTCTCAATTGCCCAATCATACTTCATCCACCACAAAAAGCTGGCTAAATTCAGAAAATTCTGCTGATGATCCGCAATAGCTTGCCTATCCTGCTGCTGGATTACGTTACGGAAGGCCGATGCATTCTTCTGTGACGAAAGCTCGAAGGAATTCGTGAAGCCTTGCTGCCCGTAAACATGGAGCTTCTTCCATATAGGTGGTACAGCTTGCTCACAATACCGTAAGGCTTGCAGAGCTCCGGAGGGCACACGTAACAAGGAAAATGGCTCGAAGTTCACGCCCCACACACAGTGTCCAGGAAAGAGCCTACAGGGCTTACGCAGCTCGTTCATGCATCGTCAAACTGGTACATCACGAAGCTGATCCACACTTTTGTGGCATGCGAAAGTCAAAGCAATTTGGAAATCTTTGAAGGCCCTGGGGCACATGAACTGACACCTCTTGCTGAAACCCATCGGCGACGATCTGCGGATTCCTCGAAGCCCCTTTTGAATAGATGCTTTCTACATTGCTGCCATCTTGAATGAACTGGAACTGCATCAAGAACACGACGGCCGTTCGGACCTGACACGGCAAGACAGCAGGAAACATGACACAGAAACACAATACAGCAAGATCACTTTTCGAACTTACCGGAAGCAAGAAGTATTCTGGACTTGCACACGTACATGAGGCGTGCAAACCACATCCATCACACCAACAAGCGCGATGTGGGTCTGAAAAGTCGGGGTGCTGCAAGAGGTTCATATTACAATCGCATGAGGCCCGACATAATGAGCGACCACGTGCAACCCGTCTGATCAAAAAATACTCGAAGAAGCACTGCAACAAGCACGATGACGATTTGAAGCACGTCCCGTGGAGTACGATGGTGCCTGCACCCTCTGAAATCACGCAAAAGTCGCTCGTCGTTGAGCGTGCCATCGACTATCAACTGCCATCGGCTACGAACTGCTTCGCCGACAAAGAGCTCTGCTTCCGATGCCCTTCAATGATCCTTCAATGATGACGTAGCACGTGGGGACGATCGCGAACACCACACTGGGAAAGCTGCAAGACCACATTCAAAGAACAGATGCAGAGCTGGAAGACAAACCTGCAAAGAACAAATGAAGTGCCTCAAGACGGGCTCGCTTCACTTCTGTTCGACCCGATACTGACATCTCGTAGATGGCTACAAAGGCTACCTCCCGTGACTGGTGTTGAAACTAAAGCCCCGTCTACAGTGGTGTTCTCTACTTTTCGCGGGCTCCAGAACCCAGTAGAATCCAGAACCGATCAAGATTGCATCCGGCTTTTCCCCCAGCTCTCAATTGCCCAATCATACTTCATCCACCACAAAAAGCTGTCTACATTCAGAAAATTCTGCTGATGATCCGCAATAGCTTGCCTATCCTGCTGCTGGATTACGTTACGGAAGGCCGATGCATTCTTCTGTGACGAAAGCTCGAAGAAATTCGTGAAGCCTTGCTGCCCGTAAACATGGAGCTTCTTCCATATAGGTGGTACAGCTTGCTCACAATACCGTAAGGCTTGCAGAGCCCCGGAGGGCACACGTAACAAGGAAAATGGCTCGAAGTTCACGCCCCACACACAGTGTCCAGGAAAGAGCCTACAGGGCTTACGCAGCTCGTTCATGCATCGTCAAACTGGTACATCACGAAGCTGATCCACACTTTTGTGGCATGCGAAAGTCAAAGCAATTTGGAAATCTTTGAAGGCCCTGGGGCACATGAACTGACACCTCTTGCTGAAACCCATCGGCGACGATCTGCGGATTCCTCGAAGCCCCTTTTGAATAGATGCTTTCTACATTGCTGCCATCTTGAATGAACTGGAACTGCTTCAAGAACACGACGGCCGTTCGGACCTGACACGGCAAGACAGCAGGAAACATGACACAGAAACACAATACACTTCCGGCAAGATCACTTTTCGAACTTACCGGAAGCAAGAAGTATTCTGGACTTGCACACGTACATGAGGCGCGCAAACCACATCCATCACACCAACAAGCGCGATGTGGGTCTGAAAGTCGGGGTGCTGCAAGAGGTTCATATTACAATCGCATGAGGCCCGACATAATGAGCGACCACGTGCAACCCGTCTGATCAAAAAATACTCGAAGAAGCACTGCAACAAGCACGATGACGATTTGAAGCATGTCCCGTGGAGTACGATGGTGCCTGCACCCTCTGAAATCACGCAAAAGTCGCTCGTCGTTGAGCGTGCCATCGACTATCAACTGCCATCGGCTACGAACTGCTTCGCCGACAAAGAGCTCTGCTTCCGATGCCCTTCAATGATCCTTCAATGATGACGTAGCACGTGGGGACGATCCCGAACACCACACTGGGAAAGCTGGAAGACCACATTCAAAGAACAGATGCAGAGCTGGAAGACAACATGCAAAGAACAAATGAAGTCAAACTAGTGCCTCAAGACGGGCTCGCTTGATTCTGTTCGACCCGATGCTGATATCTCGTAGATGGCTACAAAGGCAACTTCCCGTGATTCCTCTGCGATGGCTATGTCGGCGATTTGCTGAGATAAACCTGGATTTGGTCAAAGTAATCGTGCCCGCCCCGTGAAGCTTCACCAGGTCCGCATGGTGTTGAAACTAAAGCCCCGTCTACAGTGGTGCCCTCTACTTTTCGTGAGCCTCCAGAACCCAGTAGAATCCAGAACCGCTCAAGATTGCATCCGGCTTTCCCCCCAGCTCTCAAGTGCCCAATCATACTTCAGCCACCAAAAAAAGCTGGCTAAATTCAGAAAATTCTGCTGATGATCCGCAATGGCTTCCCTATCCTTCTGCTGGATTACGTTACGGAAGGCCGATGCATTCTTCTGTGACGAAAGCTCGAAGGAATTCGTGAAGCCTTGCTGCCCGTAAACATGGAGCTTCTTCCATATAGGTGGTACAGCTTGCTCACAATACCGTAAGGCTTGCAGAGCCCCGGAGGGCACACGTAACAAGGAAAATGGCTCGAAGTTCACGTCCCACACACACTGTCCAGGAAAGAGCTTACAGGGCTTACGCAGCTCGTTCATGCATCGTCAAACTGGTACATCACGAAGCCGATCCACACTTTTGTGGCATGCGAAAGTCAAAGCAATTTGGAAATCTTTGAAGGCCCTGGGGCACATGAACTGACACCTCTTGCTGAAACCCATCGGCGAAGATCTGCGGATTCCTCGAAGCCCCTTTTGAATAGATGCTTTCTACATTGCTGCCATCTTGAATGAACTGGAACTGCTTCAAGAACACGACGGCCGTTCGGACCTGACACGGCAAGACAGCAGGAAACATGACACAGAAACACAATACACTTCCGGCAAGATCACTTTTCGAACTTACCGGAAGCAAGAAGTATTCTGGACTTGCACACGTACATGAGGCGCGCAAACCACATCCATCACACCAACAAGCGCGATGTGGGTCTGAAAAGTCGGGGTGCTGCAAGAGGTTCATATTACAATCGCATGAGGCCCGACATAATGAGCGACCACGTGCAACCCGTCTGAGCAAAAAACACTCGAAGAAGCACTGCAACAAGCACGATGACGATTTGAAGCAGGTCCCGTGGAGTACGATGGTGCCTGCACCCTCTGAAATCACGCAAAAGTCGCTCGTCGTTGAGCGTGCCATCGACTATCAACTGCCATCGGCTACGAACTGCTTCGCCGACAAAGAGCTCTGCTTCCGATGCCCTTCAATGATCCTTCAATGATGACGTAGCACGTGGGGACGATCCCGAACACCACACTGGGAAAGCTGGAAGACCACATTCAAAGAACAGATGCAGAGCTGGAAGACAACATGCAAAGAACAAATGAAGTCAAACTAGTGCCTCAAGACGGGCTCGCTTGATTCTGTTCGACCCGATGCTGAAATCTCGTAGATGGCTACAAAGGCAACTTCCCGTGACTCCTCTGCGATGGCTATGTCGACGATTTGCTGAGATAAACCTGGATTTGGTCAAAGTAATCGTGCCCGCCCCGCGAAGCTTCACCAGGTCCGCATGGTGTTGAAACTAAAGCCCCGTCTACAGTGGTGCCCTCTACTTTTCGTGAGCCTCCAGAACCCAGTAGAATCCAGAACCGATCAAGATTGCATCCGGCTCTCCCCCCAGCTCTCAAGTGCCCAATCATACTTCAGCCACCAAAAAAAGCTGGCTAAATTCAGAAAATTCTGCTGATGATCCGCAATGGCTGCCCCATCCTGCTGCTGGATTACGTTACGGAAGGCCGATGCATTCTTCTGTGACGAAAGCTCGAAGGAATTCGTGAAGCCTTGCTGCCCGTAAACATGGAGCTTCTTCCATATAGGTGGTACAGCTTGCTCACAATACCGTAAGACTTGCAGAGCCCCGGAGGGCACACGTAACAAGGAAAATGGCTCGAAGTTCACGTCCCACACACACTGTCCAGGAAAGAGCCTACAGGGCTTACGCAGCTCGTTCATGCATCGTCAAACTGGTACATCACGAAGCCGATCCACACTTTTGTGGCATGCGAAAGTCAAAGCA